AAAAAAAAAAAAAAAAAAAAAAAAAAAAAAAAAAAAAAAAAAAAAAAAAAAAACCGGTTAATTTCCTAACGTAAATATTTATGACAAAATAGTGTTTAGGTCTAGTCTTCTTTAGCCTTTCGCACCTTCTGTCGTTGAGACACTCTAAAATGACCCATATTTATGTTTTCAAACTATGTCACTTTATGTTTAAAGGGCCGAGAAAATCCTTTATCCCTAAATACGCGCTTTTCCCGCCACATTAAAATAAATTCTTTATACGCAATGTACGTAATGTACTGGAAATAAATACTATTTTGGCAAAATTCAGTTCAAGTATTGGCAAAATTCAGCTGACCTGGGGAGGCGTGGTGTGCGTGTTACCAACAATGACATATTTATAATAAGTAGTTTTATGAAATGAATAAAACTGCCTCCGAAAAAATGTTGATGTGATTGGAAGACATTTACGTTCAATTTCTGGGAATGAAGATGTAATCAAAACTGGTACGTTACTTAGCTTCAACGTATTTTGGAGTTATTTTATTGGCAAGTCTAACGTAATTGCTGCCCTACTGATTCAGAGTCAGCTGACTGCAGCTGATTTACATCTGGATCACTTTCGCCGTCAGGCAGGTCAGATAGGTGAAAATTGCAACCAGCGAGCACATAATTTTCGGTAAAATTTTATTTGCTGCTATTAGAGAAAATGGCTATTCATTCTGCAATTAAAGGAAAGCTCATTTCTGTAATTGGCGATGAAGTAAGTGATAGTATCAAGCATTTTAGGTTATGCATTTGAAAAAAATTATAACCCATATGAGAATATTAGGTTAATAATGGTTATATTATTTCAGGATACTTGTGTTGGATTTCTCTTAGGTGGAGTTGGAGAAATCAACAAAAATAGACAACCTAATTTTTTGGTTGTGGATAAACGTGAGTGAAACATGGATAAATATTTGTATCTTCATGCACAGATATAATTTCCAACATAATGTTCCTCTAACAGTATGAAGGTTTCATAAATTTCTTTCTTGCCATAATTTTTTTATGTATGAATCTTATTGTGCTTTGTTCGCATTTAATGCTCCAGTGAAAGAATTTGAGTGAAAGGTCTTTTTTTAAATTTGTTTAGATACCAGTGTTGGGGAAATAGAAGAATGTTTCAAGCGATTTGTGAAGAGAGATGATATCGACATAATACTTATAAATCAAAATGTATGTAACAGGGTTTCTATAAGGAATGATATTTTAATGCAGATGTGTGAATTAATATTAATTTTATAAGTTTATATTTAAAGATTGCGGAGATGGTACGGCATTGTATTGAGAGCCATACTCAGCCAATACCTGCTGTTCTTGAGATACCATCCAAAGATCATCCGTATGATGCCAGTAAAGATTCAATATTACGGCGTGCAAAGGTAAGAGACAAATTTTATCACTAGTTTGTGTTATGCACCCATTTGTATTAAAAAAATTGTACTCTACAAATTTTTGAAGTGAAGTGAGTGTGAATAAGTATAATTGAATGATGCTTTTTCTATTGTTTTGTAATAGGTAATAATGTGAAACCAAGGATGGTCATTGCAATTAAATCAAAAATAATCTATGTAGTAATGCATCTTAAAATGAATGAAGTGGCTCTAAAATAAGTGGCAATATTGTCTACAACAGTCTTGACCAATTTCTTTTCACACACTTAAGTAATTCGTCTTTCCACATCAGTGGACATTGTCTTATAGCCATTCATCCTTTCACAATTGTGTTTTTATACTGCCTCCATTTTCATTTATTTGTATGGGAATTTTTGGCAGGGTTTTGCTTCTGAACCCTCATTCAGTTTCAGACCTTTAGCACTTCCTCCTCCAATCATATGCTCTGTCTGTGGTTAATTTTTAATACCCATTACAAGTACTCTTCATGTAATTTCTACAACATGCATAAAGCATCATCTTTATCTTCAGCGAACACCAGTTTATTGTCTACGTAGCCCAGAGAGAATAACATTGTCGCCAATTTTAATATTGCATTTCGTTCTCCATCTTCTCAAGGCTTCATTCAAATATATTTTAAACAGTCGGGGCTATGCAGCACTCCTGTTGTTACCCTGTTACTGAAAATGGTGCTGAATTGTTTCTCCCTACTTTTATCTGGCTTGTTTTACCACTACGAATATTTAATGGCGATAACCAATTGAGTTTTCATTTTGTTTCTCCATTGTCATCCATAGCCTAGATAATGAGACATTGTCATAGGCATTATGTAGATCTTTAAACACAAGGTGCATCTCCAAGTTGAGGCTGATGCGTTTGTAGATTACCTGTCTATTACTAAAGAGGTTATTAACACATGAGCTCTCCGCTCAAAAGTCGCTGTTCCTCAACATCAAGGAAGTCTCTTTCTATCCGAGTTTTTAATATTTTACTGTGTACTTAGTGAATGTTGCTAAGGACAGTTACATTTCAATAGTTTGCACTCTGTTTCCAGTCACCTTTCTTGTAGATGTTAGGAGACATATCCTTTTCTGAAGTTCTTTGGTAATTTTTCTCCCATTAAACATCTATTGTATACTTGAGCAAGAAGAACAAATAATAACCTGGGGCCATGCTTCAACAATTCTATACTTTCCAATCCTGGACCAGCTGCTTCTCCATTTTTAAATCTTTGTGTTTTTTTCGTATATCTTACTGAAATATATTTCATATTATCCAGTTCCTTGACCTCTGTTGTGAGTTACTAAATACGAGCCTATTTTCTTTCAAAAGTTCTTTGTAATATATTTTAAACTGATCTATTTATAGGTTGTAGTGTGGAAGTTTATTATTCATTTTGTGTTAGGTTTTTTATTATTTTCCACGCTTTCTTTGATTTGGCATTGCCCTTACGCTGATCTATATCTTTACATACTTTTTCCCATGCTTCATTTCTTGCTTTTCTTACTTTGTGTTTAATTTTTCTACTAATTTGACTACCATTTTCTGCCTTCAACATCTTGAGTGCTTAACCAGGTATTATAAGCTTTCTTTTCTCTCTTTCCATGCCAAATAATTATTCCACCATGAGTCACCATGAGTCACATCCTTTCCCCTCAATGTATTCTATTTCTCTGATGCTCTCTTAAGCTGCTTGATGGACAGCATCTAAAATTCCATCGTGGAGTGTTTGAGTAGTAGTTTGATTCAATTCTAACAATTTTCTACTTAAACTGAGTTTGTATAGAATGGTTATAGATGGATCGTCAAGCAACTTTGTTTGAAAAACTCATTCCATACTTTTAAACTTCACTGGATGCATATTGTTATTAGTTGTTCACCATTTCCATTTATCGCTTCTTTTCCGTACCTCCCTATAACTTCGTCTTGCCAAGTCTTCCAACTCTACTAATAAAATCGCCCACTAAAAATGTATCCTTCTGGTTCAGTATCCCATTCAAAACTTGTCAGTTGATAAAAAACCAGTCTTTCTCCAATTCGGAAGCATTGTCATGTGATCGTATATACCGACAACTACCATCTCAATGCCTTTAATTCTAAAATCAATTTTTAAAATATTCTCATTCACAGACAACCAACTCTTAATGTTACGCTTAATTTCTTCTACACGGCAATGTAAATTCCTTTCTTAGCTCTCAATTCTTTGTTGTCACCACTATATATGTGGATGTAGTCTTATGAAACTGTGTCTAAAGTCAATGTGTTTGAAACTGATACTAAGTGACTAGTAAACTATGTTTGAGACTAATAAAGTAGGTTTCTCTTGCATTGTTACCTTGTGAATGATCTGAAAATTTATTGGTAAGTAAGAGACTTTTGGCTGCTCTTTCATGTGTTAAATGATCTGTACTTAAAATTACAGGGGGAAGAGCAAATCATTTAAAGAATTTATATAGTTATTTTGAAACCATGAATTTTTTGTTCCAGGGCATGTTTAATCCTGAAGATATGAAGTAAAATGCATTCCAAGCTGAACATGTAAAACAGGTAATGGGTAAATGAGAAAAACTTACAATGTAAATTGATGTGTAAAATAGTATTAGGACGTTAGAAAAGTTGTAAAGGTTAAATTAATGGTTTAAACATTCCTTCTGTAAATATTTTTAATTTACTATCTTGAGGAACAAATAATACTCCTATGTAATATCATACTTCTTTCATTTCGTAGATTTGGTATGAGAAGAAAATTCTGTTTTGTAAAAAATATTTTCTTGTTGTCACTGTACTTTTAAAAATGTTTTATTGTAGACACTAAATAAAACTTGTATAAAACCATTCCTCCCTCCTTTTTGTTATTTACTTTGTATGAAACCTAGGTCCCTTATGTTTTATTAGAATAATTTGAATTTGAAAAAGTAATCATTTTATTTAAACTGTAGAATTAATAATTGCTTATTACAATTGCACAGCTTTTTCAATTGCAGTGATAATGAAGTATGAAGAGACAAAGTAATCAATTATAAAGATATTGACCATTGTTTTAGTTTCCAATCAGTGAATCAAAGATGACTTTCGATCTCAGGGATATCTAAGGCTTTGTTTCAGAACCTCTGTTGTCAACTGGGCTGAACTAAACCTTAAGTTAACCACTAAAGGATGTGTGAAGACCTCACTAGTAACCTATCTCGTAGTAAGATATTCTTTTATGAACATGAATGGAAATTGTGCTACTTGAAGCAAAACAAGATTGTATGGAGTTACATTTACTTTTGTGACAAAATCATGGAGTACACAACAAAAAAAATTGACCTCAAGGAGAATAACCATGCTATAATATAAAATAAGTTTTTAACCAAATTATGTCAAATGTATTAATAGGGAGGGGAGGGAACTGTTCTACCTTGGCACGGTTTCTTTTAGGTTGTGTCTGCAACATCTTATTGTTGCCATTCATTTTGATTTGTCAAGTACAGCTAGAGGGCATTAGTACCATTTGAACCTCTCAGACAATTTTTTATATTTGGAACTGGAAATTTAAATTCTGTTGAGTCTATTTATTTTTTGTTTGTATGTACTTGTACTTTGACACAACTCGTTACGAGCTAAGGCCAACCAGCGCATCTCGGCCTTGCGGCATGGGCAAGGGGTACATGTAGTTAGCACATAGACACGCCTATGCTGTATTCTGGTCTTCTCAACCTGAGAACTGAGCTTTCTCATCATCACACAACAAAAGATACTGGGACATTGCAAGGAAAGCGCACATATAATTTTTGCCCTGACCTATAATTGAACCCGGGGTTGCACCGTGGAAAGCGAACATGCTAATCAACGGGCCACAGAGAGCATTTTTTGTTTGTGAATTAGTTAAACTGAACACACAGGTTGACAGATTTCTTTAAACCAAGGAAAACTTGAAAAACACAGAGAAATTGAAATGCAGAAATAATACTGATGGGCATGACCATTACTCAAAATATTTTTTCACATCAAGTATTGTAATAAATGATATTTTGTTATGACTCTACAATTCGTGTAATTTTTATTCAATAATGCTCAGTTGATTCTTTCAATAAAAACTGACTCTCTTAAGAAGTCAATGGACATAATCAAAATAAACAATTCATTTTATGTTAAACCATGCTAGTTGGTTTGGAGAGTCCCTCCCCCAAATGTAATATAACGATCAAATATGTTCATGGCCCTCCAAAAATAGCATCTCTGAAAGAAAAAGAACAACCAAATAAGGAACTTTCTCTGCAGCAATTATAAATCTACTATTAAAAACATGAGATGTCTGTGCACCAAGATTATTCACATTCTATAAGTATCTGCTCGTCTGCTATTATGATGCTATTTTATTAGTTGAGATACAGCTTAATGAGGACTTCATGGATGGCAAATTCTACTTGAACAACAATGGAATCTGTAGAAGAGATTGTTACTGTTGCTCCATTTCATCTGTAATAGGAATTTTGATTGCTCACAAGGACTCAATCCAATGCGCGGATATTCCAAATATTCAACAACATATTGAGTAACTTTATGTCAAACTTTGTTTTCCTAACAATGAACGAACTCTGTGGTGCTTTTTCAGAAATTTACTCTTTATTTTCTACACATTGTTTAACTCTTTGACTGTGCTTCTCAAATACTTTTATGGATTCTGTTTGGGGTTCATTTTTGACCCCAAACATTTCACACAATAATTTGCAAGTGTTTGGTGCAGGAATGTTATTTGGAGTTATTAATTGAGAAAACTTGCTATTTATTTGCTTTATTTACTATAATGTATTAAATAACAAAGAATAATGTTATTTTCAGTAAAAAAACATTCTAGCATATCTTCATTACAATACATAGGTGTCTATTAAGATAGATGCTGGTAAGTCAGCATGAGAATGTTTGAAACAGGGCTACCAAATTATCGCTCAGAAACTGCAACATATTTCATAACAGAAATGGCATTTTTTACTACAATAGCATAAAAATTAAATTATTTTAAGAAAAACAACAAAAAACACACACACTTAGAAAATTGGAAAGATTACAACATATATTCAACTGATCATAAATAGCATACCTAAATGGAGAAGTTAGTGTGAATACTTTTTAGAATGTGAAGCATTATTTGTCCCAGGACCAAGGATTGGATAGAGAGATAGCTTTGGTGCCAGAGGAAATCTGGAATTGTTCAAAAACATATTGGGGATCTCATCTGGCCCAGCGCTCTTACAAGAGTTGAAATGACAAGAAAACTTTCAGATATTGTGATTTTGACTTTGTTAATCGCAGAATGATATTGATAGTTTGTGGTAGTAGTGGAATGTTATTTATATTGTGTACGGTACATTGATTAACAATTAGACTCTGTTTGGGGTCTTTTGTTGACCCCAAGGACACATGTTTCGCAACATTCTGAAAATTATTCAAATAATAATTGACATCAATAAGAGACAAGGGATTCCATGCACTATAGTCCGGATCAAGCGCGGAGCTCAGGGGCTTCTGGATTGAGTGGACCCTTGGAAATTCTGTGTAAGCGCAAAGACAGCCCCTAAAATTCGGACATAGGTGAAATTAGAGAAAAGCTAAAATGGCAGTCAAATGTGTTTCATATTCTCTATCATTCTGGTTGCACCAAATGTACCTATTGTATCTATTGTAGTCGTGGAGTTGTGTAAAATGGGGTTTCTAGGGAATTGTTGAAGAAGAACAAATGGACTAAAATGAATTCAAGAAGTAAGATGAAATGTATTGCTACAAATCATGAATAAATAGTTTACTTTATTTCTATACTAATGTTGAATGGATACTAGACTCGGCATGCTCATCTCATGTGGTCAATGACATTTATCTATTATTCTATTTTAAATCAGAAGTAATTGATATTTGTATGGCAGGAGAAGATTGAAATATCTACTTCAATTGTCTACTTCAAGGGGAGAAGTTCGTGTACTTAATGACTTTCAAAATGTGAAACCTTTAACGATACTCTATTTAGTTCCACGAGTAACAAATAATCTTATTTTTGTACAAAGTCTAGTAAAACACAATAAGAAAATAATATTACATAAATAAATACGGTGCTAGAGTTTTTAATGAAGAAACAAATGATCTCGTTATGCAAGGAAAATTCATTAATATGTTTATTATTAATTTACAAATAAAATGTAATTAGAATAATCACAATCAAGAAATATACTTCAACAAACTAAACTTATACCTTGACATTTGCAGTTCAATGAAACATCCATTTATCTCTGTTCAAAGGTATGTTTTGGAAAAAGTAGACAAATTCAGCAGAAGATATTTGACTGAATTTATAAGAAGAATGCAGAGGTTTTGAGAAAAAATAGAAGAGTTGATGGAAAGAAGGAAGAACGAAACTGGAGAAAAAATAAAATATTTAAGACCAGAAAATGGTATTGAATTTATGAATAGAAGACTTACACATTACTGTAAATATAAAGGTATTAAACAGGAATTTATTACTACTTACTCTCCACAAAGTTATGGAATTGCAAAACGGGCTAATAGAACACTAATAACCACAATGTTTGTTATCCTTTTAGCTTTCAACCATCCAATAAAATTTTGGGCAGAAGCTGTATCAACAGCAACGTATTTACATAATTTGTCCTACAATGAAGTAAAAAATAAAACTCCAATGGAAATATGGAGAGGTAAAAAACCTATAAAACATTTACAAAAACATAAATTTGATAAATGAGGTTAACATGGTATTTATGTTGGATACTCAAGAGCGAGAAAAGCAAACAGAATTTACGATATTGAAGAAAACAAGATTTTTGTAAAGAGAATTGTAATATTTGTTGAAACAGAAAATGGATATTGTAGTGATTTATATGATAAACAAGAAATCAATACACTAGATTACCAGAATATCGACAATTTATCATCAAGAAATAAAAATAACACTTTCACAACTCGGTATGAAAATGATGACCATCCGAGAATTGATTTACTTAATCAGTTATATGTATATATATCATCACTGAGTAATTTCACTTATTAATTAAACATCCAGAATTTAAGGCCATATTTATTAATTTTTATTACCTATGCAAATACAGTATCATCACCTTAAGCTTATATTTATTTTATATTATCTGTATATACATACTTAAATGTAGTTTAGTGTATCATTTTATTGAACATACAGACATTGTAACGTCAAGGTTAAATAAATAAAGACACATTATCTTATCACTACTCCATCGTCATCTAACAATGGGAAGTTATTTTGAAAAATTCAAACTGCTATGAAGCAGCTCTTCCATGTAATATAATATATTAACACCGGATATATTATATGGTAACCCCGAATTTATTAAATAATTCTTGATAGATAACTAACTCTTTTATTAATTGACTAATTAAATAACTCTTCAAAGATTCTAGTAAATGAAGAGCATGATTTTCGAATTTGAAATTTCGAAAATTTGTACAATTGCGCTCAACTACTCATATTCTTAAAACAAATGTACATACCAGAACTGATTATTTATAACGTATTTCAGTTAACGCAAAATAATTATTAAATATTGTTAAAAAATGTCTACTTTCTCGCCCGTAACATGCAAAAATTATGCAAAAGCTACTCATATTTTTGGGAAATTTGAAGTTGACCTTATTTAAAGAACTATTTTAATTTCATTAAAATCATTTAATTTCGTCAAAGGAAAAATATCTCTTCACAATATTGTAGTTGTAAGAAAACCCCGAAAAAAAAAATTTTTTTGCAATTTTCGAAAATTCAAGAAGTGCAACGAAAATGCGTCCTACACTATTTATGCCTCTTGTGCTCTATCAGGTAAAAAA